CTCGGGAGGCAGAGGCAGGCGGATCTCTGAGTTCGAGGCCAGCCTGGACTACCACGTGAGTCCCAGGAAAGGCGCAAAGCTACACAGAGAAACCCTGTCTCGAAAAACCCAAAAACAAAACAAAACAAAACAAAAAAAACAAATTACGTTTGGATCATCACATGTGGATTTGGAAAGCAATCGCATATCAAAGAAGTAAATGAGGGGGGCAGGAGGGGGAAGAACAAGGAATCCGTGGCTGATATGTAGAACTGAATTGTATTGTAAAAGAAAAAAATTAAAAAAAAAAAAAGAAAAAAACAGATGGGATAGATGTGGGGGAAAAAAAAGGAAGTAAATGAGGCAGTTGGTGGAGGGGAGGTGGTTGGTCATATTTCCAGAGGGAAAGCTGGCTTGAGGACCCATTACTCAGTTCTCAGACATGCCTCCTTCACCAGATGGCACTGAGTGATAAAATCAAACAATAACTCCCTTTTCCAATGTGATGCTTATTAAGCAAACTTTTAATTGTATTTTGGCTTTCTGATAGGGAAAGAAATCACTGAAAAGAGAATATATTTACATGAGATCCACTGTGTCAAAGGGTAATGACATCCCATATCTTTGAAAAATGTTGATTTAAAATTCACAGTAAAAATACATCAGAAAATGTAAACCATGGAAAATGAAGACATACACTTAGTTCTTACTAAAGATGGTATTTCAGGGTGTCGGCTCTCTCACAAAGACATGAAAAACTGCAAAAAATGTTTCACTTTTATTGACTCTTGGGAAGACCCACTGTGTGGGGTCTTGGGGATTTAAGAAATGAACAAGATTCTCATGATGTCTGCACTTTTTTTTTGTTATTGTTAGAAGCAAAATTCTACTGGAGGGAAATTGACTATTTAATGGTAGTTAGAAAAGTATTTGCGGCATATATTTGGTTAATAGAGGTAAGCATGAGAAATCAAAAGTGCCACTGAAACATGGAGTGTGATGTCTGTCCTAGATTGGGGAGTCAGAGAAAGTTTTCCATAGAACATAGCCTGGTTCCTGGGACAGGAAGTTTGGGAGAAAAGGAGGAATGAATTTTAGCAGAGGAAAGATGGAAAAGTTAAGGATTGTATTATTTAAGGCTCTTGTTTTAAACAATACAATCTAAGGGAGTAACCAGAAAATATATTAAAAAAAAAACTATTAAGAGATTAAGGGGCATTGCCCCAGAACTGTGAGACTGAGAAAGAAAAGTAGAGAATGTAAAGAATTTTAAAAATTACAAAGCAATAATACACACAGTGCAGAATATAGGAAAGCCTTTCTTTGTCTGAGATGTGGTAACTGGTGCTGTCCCAACTTAACATTTGTGCTGAGCTGTAATATCTGATTGTTACCGCCTTGTCCCATCACCCCACATGTTTCACAGTCCTGGCAGGAACATCTAATTGATCAGATATGGTAGCTGTTCCATTGCTAGCTCCTGTGGATGTTTGCTGTGTGGCAGTGTGTTTTGTAGTTCCCTTCTATGGCACTGATCTGCTCCACCACCAGAGAATGGTGTATGTTATGACTGATAAATCTTGAGTCCAGCTCATAAAAGGCACTGGGGAATTTTAAGGGCATTTAAGCAGCTCTTTGAGGCAGTCCACAGAATGAGGAACTGCTGCCCCCAAATACTGACAACTTGTCCGTCTTGGAAGTTTGTGATCAGTCCAGTCAAGGCTTCCAATGATGTCTTGCTCTCTTATGAGGGACTAGGTCAGAATATCCCAACCCGGCTGTGCCTAAATCTAATCATAGAAACTGTATTAAACAACAGTGCTTCATTTTTTTTTTTTTTTAAAGTGGTAGGTATGCTTGTTGGACTTTACTGCTGTAACCCGAGAGAACAAGGAAAGTGGGGAAGATCAGTCTCAGCTTCTGGTTTCATAGATTTCTATCCATCATGGTGAGGAGGGTATGGTGAGGCAGAGACATTGGCTTATGGCATCTTGGAAGCAGAGTGAAGATAGAAGGAGCTAGGCCAGGACATGCCCTCCTAAGACAAACACCTCCAGTAACCTACTTCCTTTGCCAGGCCCCACCTTGAAGTTTCTATACTTCCCAATAGATCATCCATTCAGATTCTCAATCTATCAATTTTATATGCCATCGATTAGATCAGACTCCTCCTGATCTAATTCTCTCTGGAAATATCCAGTAGGGTGCTTTACTTATCTAGGTGTCTCTCAGTCCCTTTAAGTTGACACAAATATCCATACACTAAATTTTAAGATAAATCGTAGTGCAGAAATAACAAATGCTCAGGCCTGATTCCTGCTTGACATGGAGACAGAATTCCTTTCATTTTATACAAGAATAATTTAAGTCAGGTTAAAAAACAGAATGTTTGGTTGTTGGCCGGGCGGTGGTGGCGCACACTTTTAATCCCAGCACTCGGGAGGCAGAGCCAGGTGGATCTTTGTGAGTTCGAGGCCAGCCTGGGCTACTAAGTGAGTTCCAGGAAAAGGCGCAAAGATACACAGAGAAACCCTGTCTCGGAAAACCAAAAAAAAAAAAAAAAAAAAAAAAAAAAGAATTTTATGTGTGGATAATTGGATAATTACTGGTAGAGGCAAGAAGACTGTGGGTTTAATGACATTCAGTATTACATGGTGAGTTCCTGTCTCATTTAAATTTATTTTATTTTATTTACTATAATTGTATATATGCATGTGTGATATATGTGTGTGTGTGTGTGTGTGTGTGTGTGTGTGTGTGTGTGTGTGTGTACCACAGCATGCATGTAGTAATGTGCGAACAACCTTTGTAGACTCAGTTCTTTCCTATCACCTTTACATGGGTCCTGGGGGAGAACTCAAATCATCAGACTCTGCTCATAGACCCTCAAATATTAGTTAAAATTAATTTTCAAAACCCATTAACAAATACTTGCATGGCAGGACTTCATGTTACCCACTGTTCAAAATTCTTTCCAAGCATGAATTCATTTAATCCTCATACCAGCCCTGTGAGGTAGGCACAATTAGTGTCTATTATTAACTTGTGGTATCACGAAATGTGTATGTTGAAAGCCTAAGTCCAGTGTAACTACATTTGAAGCTAGGTCTTTTAAGGTGCATTTAAGGTTAAATATCATCAAATCTAGGTCTTAATTCAATATGATTCTAAGGAGAAGAAGAGAAGCCTAAAATGTATCTATCTAGGGGGGAAAAACACAACAGGACACAGCAAGAAGACAGCCATCTGCCAGCCATGTAGAGAGGCCTCCAAAAAAACCAGATGTGCCAAGAACTTGATCTTTGACTCCTAGTCTCTAGGATTATGGAAAAATAAATTTCTGTTATTAGGCCACTCAGTCTGTGGCACTTTGTTATGACAGCCTTAGGTGACTAATTCTAGCCACTACCATAGGTAGACAGGAGTCATGCTGCTCTGATTATTGGTTTGTCCCTGTTATTCATTATGCTAATCACCTCCACCTGGTCTTTGAGATCTTCAATTGTGATGAAAAAAAAAATCAAGGCAGAGAAAAAAAATGTTAAGTTCACCCAGCTTCGGAGAAGAAAATTGGGATTGAAATTCTTTAAGTGAATCTTCTGGGTTACAACCCACTGGATCCTGGCAGGGAAATTCTAAAGCTACTCTTGTCTTGAGAATGCCCTGTTCTGTGTAAATTAAAACTGTTGGCATAGTTTCTGAGTGAGTTTCCAGTGAAGTTTCAAAAGTTGTTTTGATCCTCATTTGAACAGATTGACTAAAAGATCCATTCTGAATTTCCTCGAATGTTGACAATTTTTACTTTAGAGATGTTGGAATGTTTGCCTGGGAAAGGCCGAGGTGGAAAATCTCTCAGTGTCACTCTGTCCTTTTTTTTTTTTCACTCTCTTGAGTCTAACTGAGCATCAGATTGACTGAGCCCAGTTCCTAGCTGCCACTCAAGTGCAGTCAGAATCCTTAGCTGTGTCAGATACAACTCCCAGTGAACACATTAAATGGGAAAAAATATCTTCAGTACAATGATTTCCTTCTTTGTGCTGGTGCTATCCAAATGTGGTCCAGGATGATCTGCCTTACAGGGACATCCAATACTTTTGCAGTTCTCCAGAACACTGCAGTTTGGAGTGCATTTGTCCCAGTAAAGTATTGTGTGGATGATGGGATTCCCAGCCTACACAGCCCAGCAGAAACTTAGTGAAACTTCCCATGAGAGAGTTTGTTGTTCATTTGGAAAGGTTCTCTTTTGTTAATCTGAAAGGCTATCTTTAAAAAAAAAAACTCTCGTGCAAAGACCCCAAGAACCCCCCTTGGCTGCCTTGGTCATTCCATTTTTCACTCCAACTTCACTTAGCAAAGCGTAGGTTCCATCTTCAGAGGAGAAGTGGTACTCTATAACATTCTCCACTGTCTACAAGGAACACTGATGGTACTCCATTGTCTACAGGGAACACTGGTGAAGCTTTGGGCCTGGTATGATTGAGTCCAGAGAGGAAGAAGCTGTTGATCAATTAGAGGTAGCTATCCTGGCCGTAAAGACATGTAAAATCAACAAACATTTAAACAGTCACACAAAGGGCAGCCCCTGTGAGAGCTCAGTAACCCACTTCTGCAAGCTGAAATCAGATGGCTTGATCTTTCTCCACTGTTCATCACTGTGCCCAAAGAGACCTTTCAACACGTTGTTGATGGTTATTCTTGATTGTCTAATTGACAAAATTTACAATCACCATGGAAACAAACTTTTGGGTATCTCTATGAGGGAGATTTAGATTAGGTTAGTGAAGGTGGGAAAACTCTTCCTAAATATGAATGGAAACCATCCATGAGATGAATTCCTGGGCTGAATAAAAAGGAGGAAGTGAGTTGGGCAAAATTCATTGCTTTCTGCTTCCTGATTATAGATGCAATGAGACCTTTTGCCTCCTGCTTTTGTGGCCATGTATTCCCTATCATGATGGGTTACCCTTAAACTGTGACCCGCAATAGACTTACTTCTTTATGTCAGAGAAATTAATACATACCTAATACAGAAAATTCATCCAAGAAATACAAAGAATTGCCGAGGCTTCTTCCAATGAGGATTCTGATCTGAGAAAATAGCAGCATGCAATTACATGTAGACATGGTAAAACAAAGAGTTCATTACATACTTCCCCCATATTCTCAGTACCAACAGGTATGCACGTTGCACATAAGCTTATTTTTGCTCAGATTTGAAATGTAATTCTCAACTTTAATTAGAAGGATAGCCTTCATTCTTATCCTGTACTTATCTTGCCATGCATTTATGGACAACTTTGTTTTCTGCTCTAGGACTACAGATGAAGTTTTAATACAGCCCCAGATGAGGGAAAGATGTATAAGTAGAGACTAATCAGCATGCATTGGTAGAACCTGCACTGTGATAATTATATTTTGTTAATTGTTCTATGGTCCTTTAGTTGAGTCACAGGGGGCCAAACATATACATTTTACATGTGTGTGAATCAAAGCAGTGAACTCTTAGTAGGGAAAGGTAAAATTTGTGTTTATCTAGGTAAACGCCAGTATTAGATTTTGAGTCAGAGATTTTGTATTTCTCTGTGTGTGGTATTTTCAGAGAGTGTTATAACTAGATGGAGTATTAATTTGCTTAAAGTTAAACATGGGTGATGTACAATGAACAATCTGCTAAATGTTAATACAATTTATCCTTTTATAACTTTATAAACATGATATATTGAACATACTTAGTGCTAATCTGTTTTAGACATTCATTTGGGCTGACCTATGACTATAATATATTATGTTCCTTGAGATATTTATCTTGTCATTTGGAAACAAGATTACAATTAATATGACACACATGACTCTAAATTGCTACTTCAGCTAGAGCTGTGTGGCTAATGAATAAGCTACAGCTCTGAACCTCTCTGCTCATAATTGAAATCACAAGCCTTTAGTTGATGTCTGATTGTGATCTACTAAATAAATCACAGAACTAAGGAACCACATTTTGTTTTGATGCTAGAACTATGGGGGATATTTTTCATTTAATTTACTTAAACCTAGGCTAATGTATCCAAATTCATGTAAGAAAAACAAACACAAGAGAGCGTTTATATATTTACATTAATAGCAAAATAAAAATGACATCCAGGGTTGATCTAAATTAAGTATACTCAAAAATCCTTTTGGCTCTATTCAAAAGAAAAGGTAGTGGATGGGTAGTGGATGAAGTGACCTCACTCCAGAGACATTTCCATTTGAGGTTTTTAGAAGAGCTCACCTTAAGACAAAAAAAAAAAAAAAAAAAAAAAGCCACCAAGCTGGGGAGATGGCTCAGTAGGTGATGTGTTTCCTGCACAGTATGAGGCTCTGAGTTCAGATCTCCAGCATCAGCATAAAGACAGATGAGGTCACAAAGGTCTATCATTCTACCACTCCTACAACTGTGAAACAGAGACAGAAGAATCCCTAGAAGCTCCTGGAACAGTATCCTGGCATAGGCAGCAGGGAATAAGAGACCATCTTACATAAGGTGGAGGTGAGGACTAACACCTATGTTGTCCTATGAGCTGCACTCACACATGGGGATATGGACAATGGCATGAGTATGTATACACACATAAAGCTAAAAAAATAACAAAAAAGACTTAGTATCATATGATTTCTATATTTTCTTCTCAACACAACCTTTGCTAGTCTGCAAGTTCCAGAATGCACTGGACAGACACGCAGTAGACATTTGTTGAGATGCTTTTGATAGTAGATTAAAATTGTTATAATTGGTCATTGCAAATCCCCAGTAGTGACAGTTTAGTATGGAGAAACCATGACCAACTGTATGGGTTATTTTTTCTGTACAATGTGATTTTTATGTACATATTCATAGTGGAATGACCATTACATTCAAGTCAATTAGCATATCTATTTCTTCACATTATTATTAGCTTGAAAATGCATGGCAAAACAGTTGAATTTTACTTTAAAAATTTTCAGGATGCCATACTGTATTACTATTATCATGCTTTCCATTAGATCTATTGGATAGATGTATTTTTATTTATTAAGCTCTTAACACATGCTAAACATTGCACAAAGTAAATTGATTTTGCATATCCATGTAACATATGCTTAGTGTTATATGTGATTTGATATATATGACACTTCTTTGCAAGAAGCTAATACAGTTCTTAGAAGCAGGGATTATGTGTTAACCCTTTAGTTTTTTTTTCCCATAGGCCTGGGGAAGTAATATTCATATAACCGAGACTTAGTGAGTGAAAATTAAAAGACTTTTGTGAACTCTTTTACAGTGCACCAAAGGGAAAACAGCTCCATAGGGTCATAGAACCATGAATACCCTCAGAGAGTAGTAACTATAACAGGTACCTAAAATTCTTAACTTCCTTCTGATTTATTAAACTGTTACTGACTTGCCGTGTTCAGGTCGTCAATAAATTAAATGTTAGGTTCAGACTGGGGTCAGGATCGATAAAAGCCCACATAGTTCTAGTCCAATGGGAGATTCTAGACTAGAATACATAGACACAGATACACAAATGTAAATTATACAGCACCATCAAGATTAGAATGAATTCAGTGTATGAAGGTTGGAGAAGAAGCCGCTACATAATGTGAATAAAGACAGGTATAGTTTTCCAATTCACACAGAAGGGACTTGAATCTAGATTCTGCAATTATTATTATTATTTTTTTTAGCTATATGAGTATTTTTGTTTTTAATGCTCTAGGCTTTTTCTGCTTTATAATGGAGTCTTACCTATCACTGATTTTATAACATTAAGCAAGGTCATATGTGATATTAATTTAAAACATTATCTCATACAAGGTAACTAATACATTGGTTGTGTCAGAAAAAGGCTTCAAGAGAGGTGGTGGTGGTAATGCGCATGCTTAGCCTTCAGGAAGCTCTGGGTGTGGTGGCACTCCTCTACCATCTGAGCACTTAGCAGCTACAGACAGGAGGGTCAGGATTTCAAAATCACCCTTGGCTACATAATGAGTTCTGGGACCAGCCTAGGCTATATGAGACCCTGTCTCAGATTCTTTATTTTATTTTATTTTTTAAGAAAACAAAACATTAAAACTAAAGGAGAGAATTCTACCACTGAACCACCAATGCCGGGCGGTGGTGGTGGTGGTGGTGGTAGCGCACGCCTTTAATCCCAGCACTCGGGAGGCAGAGCCAGGCGGATCTCTGTGAGTTCGAGGCCAGCCTGGGCTACCAAGTGAGTTCCAGGAAAGGCGCAAAGCTACACAGAGAAACCCTGTCTCGAAAAACCAAAACAAAAAACAAACAAACAAACAAACAAACAAAAAAACCAACAACAACAACAACTAAACAATCAGTTGTGTGTGAAAGGACTAGACTTTGGACAAAAGAAGGCGGGGTCAGAAGCATTTCAGGCAGAAAATGAGCATGAGCTGGGGAAGGCGGGAATGAGAACGGCACACGTGAGCAAGAGAGAGGCTTCTGAACAAGGTAGCAGCAGCAAGTTCGCAGTAACAGGAATCTGAACTTGTACCATAAAATGGGTTCAGATGGTCAGAAACCTTGGAGCCAAAGGCATTTTGACAGTGGAGAATCCTCATTTGCTTCACCCTCTGTGTCTGCACGGAAGCATAAGCTTTGAGTGTCGTAATGTTGTGAATGAAGTTCCCATCTATGCTGGGTTTCACCGGAACCGCTGTCACAATGTCTTGACTACTATAAGCAATGGCTACATCGGCCCTTACATAAAGGAATGATCTAAAATCAATCCTCTCCTGATAGTGTTCTACCTTGTTTTCTTTTGTTCATGTTTGTATATATCCATTCCTCTATAACAAAGAACAAATATATGCTAAAAAAAGATAGCCAGTAAGTCCTCAGAAACTTTAGAATTAAAATCCTATGGACATGCCACATAAAGTATATTCTAGAATTAAATCTTTTCATTTTAGAAGTAAAAATTATAAACTTTATTTCAAAAACTCTGCAAATAAAAGGAAAAAAAATCAAACAACAAAATTACTCAGACCCAGAGTCTACACATCTCAATGAGCTCATACACAGTTAATATAGTTACTTGGAGTGGAAGCTGTGTGGTTACACTGGATTTTACTATTGAATAAATCATATGCAGTTATCTACCGTAAACCCAAAATTCCAGGAGATTTAGAGCTAGAGAAACAATTAGCTTTAATATCCCCCTTCGTGAGTCATCTCCATCACCTGCGTTTGGTCCTCCCTCACCCCCTAATAGTCAGCCTTTCTTGTTCTTTTAGACATTATACTGTACATATACACACATTTGTTTACACATATACATCAGTTATTGACTAGATCCCACATATGAGGGAGAATGTGCAATTGTTTTTCTTCCTGAGATTGCATGACATTGATTAACATTATACATTCTAAGTCCATCCACTTTTGTCTTTCATTATGGTATAAACGCTGACATCACTTACAACATACTCTCTTAAGAAAATGCTCGGAAATGCCAAGTTTTAATGGCAGAATTAATTAGAATACATATTGATTTAGAATATCTATATCAAAACTTTGGTCCAAGTTTGTAAATAAGAAATTTTTTTTTTTTATCTTCAGGCAATTAAAACTCCAGTTTGGGGAACTTAGTATAAAGTTGAATACATAAAAAGAATTCGTCAGTAATTAAAACTGTAGAATAGCCCAGTATAACATATTGTAGAAAAAAGTAAATAGAGTATTTTCCAAAATACCAAATTTAATTTTACATGAAATTAATTTTTTAGCTCTCTGCTTCATAGATTGGTTTTCTCCTGCTGAAGAGTCAGGAGTGACCTGTACTTCTTAACTTGACTATTGTGCTCTAAGGAAAAGGTCTTCGGAAAAAAAAAAAAAAGTCATTATGCCCTGTCCTTTAGAAATAGCTATTTGAGGAGTTTATAGGGTTTTCCAGATGTCTGATTGAAGCTGTCTGATTCTTATGTAGATTTTCTTCAACACACAACATTTGGTTTGCAGAATTGTGGCTCACAGGAAAATGGCTGCCTAACAGAGGCAGCAGAATAATTATGATATCATTAGAAATATTTAAATATAAATAACATTCTATATCCGTCCTTGTCTTCTGTCTTGGTTTTGACAGGAGGAGCCAGTTTTGATGGGATTCCTGTGGCCCCGTAGATTTTTATCCTGTTATCCAATTTTCCGCTGCACTGCTCTCCTTCTGTCAAACTGACTGCCAGCCAGCCTCCCGTCCTCCTGAGAGGAGGAACAAGGCTTTGTATTACAGTGGACAGAAGAAGGAGAACAAACACCCGATTTTCTCCCTGCAAGAGCTGTGCTCACTCGTTTAATAGAAAATTCCATTGTCTGAGAGTTGAAGAGAACAGAGAGAGGGATATGAGAAGACTTGAGCTTTTCATGCCGCAGAACAAGATAATGTTGCCGGCAGCTAAGACCCACAGCTGAACAGCATACAGATCGGGAGGCAGTGGTCCAGGATACCCAGGGGCACGAGAGTTGCTGAGCTGCTGTCCAAACTGGTCTGTGCTGAGTATTCCCTAGCACTGAGAAGTGTGACTCACTGCCCCATAAAGTAGAAAAGACATAGGTGTAAGGGGAAGAGAAGGATCATTTTCCTAGCATTTGGGGATGTCATAGTGGATGCTTTGCTTGCGCGCGTGTGTGTGTGTGTGTGTGTGTGTGTGTGTGTGTGTGTGTGTGTGTGTGTGTGTGTTGCAGTGATGTTTGCTCAGCATGCAGAGCTTAGAGCAAAGAACACAGAGATACGAGACGTGAGTACAGGGGCTAAGATGATAAAAAAAAAACTGGCGAAATAAGAAGTTGGGTAACCGGCAAGCTCAGAATATAACAAAATAATTGCAAAATTCTAAAGAAAATTAAAACATACTGTCAGAGCACCAAATTACAAAGGCCTTCTAAACACTAGACCTAAACCAAGACAAAACAAAACAAAACCCATACTCTTCAAGCCATGTACACTTGTGAGTGTGGTCTGGACCCTTTGGCTGCAGTCTTCTGGATTAGAGAAATAGAAACGTGTCAAGGAACCATTGAGGTGTGAGGCAACTGTAAAGGTAGTGTTCTATAACATTGTGTACTAACTGAGAAGAATAAGATGTCCTTACAGGTCAGGAACTGGATTTACCATATTTATGTCTGATATGTATTAAATATAATCTCTCTCCATATATATGTGTATATACATATATATAGCACATATATATAGTGAAGCCTCATAATTTTGAGAAATTGATTCATTTCATGCATAAAAATGTACAAAATTCAGTAAATATTTTTCTTGTTATTTACGTGATAAGAAAATACGTGAATCATTATTAATGTTAAGAATGTATTCAGTATATGGTCAGATTTAAGTAAGTACAAATACATCAGACATAATTGAAAGTGTTAATCTGTATAGGCTATTCTCTAAATGGTTGAAATTTACAGTTCCATTCTCAATGAAGCAAAAAACCTTACTAACTAGGGTGTGATTTTCACATCAGGGTGTGAGCACACAAAAT